TGCGAATCAACTAACACTCATGACTGTTATTAACCCTCAATATTGCAATTAATGGCATTACTGTTAGGGAACAACAATTGTTTATGGAAAGCAGGTGCTATGACAAGAACATTAGGGATATGATGATGAGAACCATCCTCATTAACAAGGCTATTCATCCCCAGGTCAATGAGGCCAAGTAAATAAGAAGCCAGGATTCTACAATTAGGAGCAGATAAATCCAGTCAGTATCAATATGTGGTAACCATATTAATTCTTTATAACAGGCTTAACCTGCCGTCTAAAAGAAAATTCTTACATGCCCTTTGAAAGTTTCTCTGAACTGATGCCATAGGTGAGGTCTAACTCTTAGGAGGTAATAGCAAATCTATTACGAAGTTTTCCTAGACCTCACAATCCATGAGTACAAAAGAATTATGTTGATATCAACGACTCGGATATCTCAGCCTCCTTAAAATTTCACTCCCAAGAATTTTGGGAGCATGACTACACATGGAGCTATGAGTCAGTCCACTCAGTTATATGTGACTTTCACTGTTTCTACCATCTGCCTTTGTGGGACTCCACCCACCATCTCCCTCCAGGACTGCCCTAGGTGTCCAGAGTTCCTGGAAACCAAACTTGTATGTCTGATGCTGAGCAGGGACTCTATGCTTACCCTCTTGGCATATAGTGGGTGAAATTATCTTTTCAGGAGGTTGAGGTCTTATGTGTGAACAAGAACATACAATGTGTCACTCAGTTATATGTCCATGCTTCCTTTTCTCTCTGACCAGGCATAATATAGATAGATTTCTATCTAATAATTGTATCAAGCATACACACGTGTCAGGGATTGGGCTAAGAGCTACAGATGCAAAAATGAATAAGACACAGACTCTGAATTCCAAAAGTTTATGGTCTAGTAAAGTCAATGCCTGTGTCAGAAAATAAGTTCCATATAGAAATTAACCAAAATTACTTGATTGCTTCTCAAATATTTGAAGAAATCATCTCACTGTAAATCACTATCGCTCATCTTGTCTTGGATGTGATGTTACTATTTCATTAATATCTTTCTTTTGGACCCTTGGGAATTATTACCAGCTACAGTACCATTTGACCTTCAGATTCAAATCTAGTCGTGGTCTCTGTTATGCAGACAAGGAAAAACCAAGCCCACCTTGTTTGTTTGTCCAAAGCTCACCTCTCCATTGGCTTACTCTGCAATCAGGAATTGCCCAGAGAAAAGAAATAGTAGTTAATATTTCCAATATTCCTATGTTCTGCTGTATGTTTCCATCTTTATTTTCTTGTACATTATTTGCTCAGGGTATGGATAAATGCTAATGAATGGGAAAACATAATAATAATATCATGCAAATAATTAAAGAATATGCCTTTTTGTAGCCACTTATTTTCTCTTTCCAAAAACTGTTGATAGTGTAGGAAGAAAAAACAAAACAAAACAAAAACAATCTTCTAGTATCCATTTCCCCACATAAAAAGGTAAACAGACTGGCCCGAGGATTCAATTTACCACTTTTCAAACCAAGTTTAAGTGCTGACTCCAAATCTGCTGTTAACATAAAAAAGTTAAAAAAATAAATTAAAAAAAAGTCTTTGCAGTTTAGGTTCTTGGCATATGGCCTCCTCCAGACTCCCTAGACTCCAATTTCTAATCTACAATACAGCCTCTGAAAAACAATTGTCAAAGCTCCATACACATCGGAAAAGAGATTTTCTATCCACTGCCAAATGAAAAGTTAAATACCACGCTGAAATGCATAGCAAAATCCTTTATCACTAGAGGGCAAAAGGTGCTTTCAATACTTTATTTAAACTTCATACATTATTACTGCTGGCGCAGCGAGTAGCTCTAAAGCTTTCTAGATGTTTCCTTCACTTCCTAGGGGGAAAAAAAAGAGGTCTGTTATTTGTTTTTCCTTCCACAACAGCCCCAGACTATAATTACACCAAATCTCCTCATGCTATAACTAGGGGGAAAGATTGGGGGTGTTTGCATGTTTAAATGAAAATCTTAATTCCTTCAAATGCTGCCACAATTTTTTAAAAAATTTTACTTCATATCTGAAGTCCCTCATGACATATGCTACCTAAGAATAATATTTTTAAACCCACATATGCCAAATATGCTGTTACTGTTCTCACATTATTAGTCAAGTAAAGCTCTTCACTAATTCTGCATCACAAAATGTTCCCGACACTTGAAGACACTTGCAAAATTTCATACATCTAATTCTTTTTTACCTGGAAGTTCACAATATTAATTTTTAACATGCTTAGGGAAATCATGAAACCAAAAGCAGATTTAAGTAGCAAAATTTTGTAACACGTGTTAGGCCTTTCAACCATCGCCTAAGCTGGCTATTTTCATTCAACCTTTCGGTTCACTGCTGCATCAGCGTCTATTCCAAGGAAGGTTTTGCCTTCTCACTGGGTCTTTTTGTAGGCGGACCTCATTTACATAACACTCGACAACTTTTATTCCAGTCCATTTAGCCTCTCAGATTCCATTAAAACTCTAAAGGGACCATGGCTGAGTTAAGGTGAGCTAGAAAAGCAGGGCAAGTCTGCACCCCCCCACACACTTTCTGCCACCCAATCTCCCAAAGGACAGAAGCTTTACCCCCTCGGTCCTCTCTGAACAGCTGCTTGGCTCCCCTTCCTGGCACCTGGTTTTGCATTTTGGTTTTTCTCATTTGTGCCTTTCTATCTACTTAACCCACTGCCCTATTTCGTCTTTCACCTCTTCACTCAATTCCTCTTCTCTCTTTTCACTCAATTCCTTTTCTTCTCTCTTCTGAAGTGGAGACGTACAAAGAAGCAAGAAGTAAAGGGGAGAAAGTCAAATGTCTGTCTTCGGGCTATTAACTGAAGTTCCAGAGGCTTTTGTATTGTGCCTTTGTTCCTTTTTCTCCCCAAATATCTCCAGGTTTACATGTTAGTATTTTTTTTTTTAATTTTTTTTTTTCAACATTTATTTCTTTTTGGGACAGAGAGAGACAGAGCATGAACGGGGGAGGGGCAGAGAGAGAGGGAGACACAGAATCGGAAACAGGCTCCAGGCTCTGAGCCATCAGCCCAGAGCCCGACGCGGGGCTCGAACTCACCGACCGCGAGATCGTGACCTGGCTGAAGTCGGACGCTTAACCGACTGCGCCACCCAGGCGCCCCACATGTTAGTATTTTTTGTCTCTCTCTACTCACTATCCCAATAACTGAAAACTTGTCGTAGCTCCTCCAATCCCCTGAGGGTCTCATTATTTGCCCAGCAGATTTATGTGCTGGGATGAGGGGAAAGGGGAGGCTAGGAAAGAAGAAATGGGACAGATACTGGGGTGCCTGGATGGCTCAGTTGGTTGAGCGTCTGACTTCCACTCAGGTCATGATCTCACTGTTGGTGGGTTCGAGCCCTGCGTTGCATCGAGCTCTGCACTGACAGCTCGGAGCCTGGAACCCGCTTTGGATTCTGTGTCTCCCTCTCTCTCATTTTCCTAACAACAGTTAGCCCCTCAAGGTCCTGGAAACCTTGCTTCCAAAATTCCTTAGAGACTTATGCTGTCCCTAACCCCCTCCCAACCTGAATATATATAATCAGTCACTCTTCACAATCCCAAGGCAGCTCTTTCTGCCCACAGGTCCTTTCCTTGTGCTTTCATAAAATCACCTTTTCTGCACCAAAGATGTCTTCAAGAATTCTTTTTTGGCCATTGGCTCTGAACACCCACCATCACCCCAAAACCCCATCACGAAGGCTTCACCACTGCTCTAGTTCTCTTAGGACTTCAGGAACATTCTTCCCTCCATTTGTCCTTCATGATTCCCACTCTGCTAACCCCTGGGTGCCCCAACATCCTCTTCTGGTTTTCTCAACCTTGCCAGGGCTCTACACTTGTCATTAGCGTCTCTCCAGTTGATCAATCTTGAGCAGAATTCTGTTCCTTGCAGACTGCTGACTGATGCACCTGGCTTGTAAAGGGCCAGTGACAACATTACACAGAAGGCTTAAGCACCAAAGAGCAAAGCAGGAACAGCATTCTTCCCCTGTTCACATTGTCCAAAATGTGCTATCCAAATGGAAAGCAACATGACTATTTATTATTAGCAGTATTAAATGGAGTGTTGACCCTTTTCCATTAGTCTTATAAAGAATGGTGAGTTGATGGGTCAGTCGGGTTAAGTGTCTGACTCTTGATTTTGTCTCAGGTCATGATTTCATGGTTCATGGGTTTGGGTCCCCCGTCAAACTCTGTGCTGACAGTGCAGAACCTGCTTGGGATTCTCTCTCTCCCTCCCTCTCTCTCTCTGCCCCTCCCCTGCTTGCTTGCTCTCTAAGTAAATAAATAAATAAATAAATAAATAAATAAATAAATAAATAAACATTAAAAAAAAAAAGAATGGTGAGTTGATGTTAAGCAGCTGATATGAGCTTTGTTCTTCAAAACTCATTACTTCTTTAATTTTGAATCCTAGAACTTTTTCCATGAAAAAGTAGAATAACTCTACGTGGGGAGAAGAGAGAGTACATCTGCCATCACAGCTCTTTTTGGTGCCAAGTCCCTGCAGTGGGAAGACGGCAACCTGCTGTAGCTATTAATATTGCAGAAGAAAAATGTACAGTAGAAGGAAATTGCCATCAAATGCCCTAAAGTCAGAACAAAGAAGTAAAGAATTCTTTAGTAAAGAATAGTGATGTACCCATTCTTTGCTGAGGTCCTGATTAAGTTTAGTCTAGATTTGGATTATTTTCACTAGGTTTTCATACCAAGGACATTTGGGAGGGGGGGGAGGGAGTCAAAAATATGTCTCTAAATCATTTAAGAGCTTAAGAGAAATTCTCTTGATTTTTTTTTATTTAAAAGAATTTTTTTAATGTTTATTTATTTTCAAGAGAGAGAGAGACAGAGACAGAGAGCAAGCAAGGGAGGGGAAGAGAGAGAGGGAGGCACAGAATCCGAAGCAGGCTCCAGGCTCTGAGCTGTCAGCATAGAGCCCGATGTGGGGCTCCAACTCACAAACCAACCCGAGATCATGACCTGAGCCGAAGTCGGGTGCTTAAGCGACTGAGCCACCCAGGCGCCCCGAGAAATCCTCTTTATTTATCAAAATCTTTTTAGCCAAATCTAACAGTAATAGTGCACTTCATAAAATCAAGTATTGCCACAAAATGATGGCAGGATAAAGGACAAGATCTTCTTTTATATGAAAGCTGTCCCCATGGGAAAAGATGGGCAATATAAATTTAAGCCAATACTTTTGGGAATGCATAGTGCTTAGAAATTCTTAACAAGATTGGAGATTGAAAAAAAAAATGTGATGGATTAATGATCAAGTAAACCTGTTAAAGTAGAAAAGTGCAGATATAGGCAAAGAAAGAGATTCTTTTCTCTTACATTTAGTTTGTGTTTTGTAAGTAGGAATCACTATCACTATCTCTGTTGTTGTTAAACAACAGCAACAGCACTAACAGGGATAATCTTGATTGACCAAAAGATTTGTAAACAATTAAATTAAGGGCTTGTTCTTCACAATGCAGAAAGATTTGCCACTTTCCATAACGTGCTGCTTTCTAGAATGTGTCCAATTAGGGCATAAAAGTTGTTTTCTAGATTCCTAATTACTTCAAAGATGAGTTTTGGTTTTGAGATGAGTGTTGACAAGACAGAAACCAAACTACAGACTTTTGGAAGTTCGGACCAATAATAAGAAATTAGCAATCAAATGTAAACCTTTCGGGAATCGAATAAAAACTTTGGTGAAAATAGGTTTCAAAACAGCACACAAGGAGAAAGTCTTCTGCATAATGTCCAGTCCCACCAAAACCTAAAGACAGCATTTAATTCAGATATTTTGGGGGGACAAAATAGGGTAACTTCCAGTTCTGGAGAGCTGACAGATCACAAGCTTTCACGTCTCTTTGAAATCAATATCCCACTGATGTGACTGAAGTAAAACACAACAGAGGCTAAATTAAAGCTGAGTTAGAGAGGGCTTCACCAGCGAACCAAAACAAAGAAATGTTTCTCAAAGAGATTTCTCAAACGGATGCAGTCAAACTGATGACAAGTCCCCACAAAGAGAACCCAAAATACAGGCATTAAGATTGGACTAAGACAAAGAACACCTGCACGGAGAACCTGAGGGCAAGTCCTGCGGTCAAGGTTGAGAGAGAGGAAGACTCTGAAATCAGAATGCCTGAATTCATCGGATCCAGGCTCCAACACCCTGCCTGCCTCAGTGTTCTCAAATGAAGAATGCAAATGAGAATAGTATTTACCTGGAGACCTACTATGAGGGTTACATGAGATCACGGAGATAAAGCGTTTCACCGAATGTCTGTCCTCCAGGAAGTGCTGAAGCATTCAGAATGTAACAAAAATGAAAATACCAAATTCCAAAACCTAAGGGAGGCAGTTAAAAATAAACAGAAAAATCTTATAGTGTTTTTCTTTAAATAATATATTTTATTTATCCCAGGGGTTCTCAGCCAGGGGAGAGTTTTAAATGCCTTTATTGTTCAAGGACTGGAATGCATAAACTAATTGCAGCAGAGTCTGTGGGTTCCCTGCCCAGATCCTCAGGGACCCTCTATCAGCTGTGGCATGTGCTCCTGCCAATGACCTATCCCTGCACGGGTCTGCAGTGGGCTCCCCTTAGATGATTTCCCCACCCACGGATGCCTGAAGGTATGTCCCAGTCCCACTGGCTCCATTGGAGCCAATGGCTGACTATAGTAATCCTCCCTTATTTGTGGGGTATGCGTTCCAAGACCCCCAGTGAATGCCTAAAGCTGTGGTTAGTACTGAACCCTATACATAACATATTATTTCTATATGTACACACCTATGACAAGGTTTAATTTGTAAATTAGGCACAGGAGATTCACAATAACTCAGAATAATCATAATAATATACTATAATAAAAGTTATGTGAATATGGTCTCTCTCACTCAAAATGTCTTCTTGTACTGTACTCATCCTTCTTCTTGTGATGATGTGAGATCATAAAATGCCTACCCGATAAGATGCAGTGAGGTAAATGACATAGGCATTGTGACATAGCGTTAGGCTTCTATTAACCTTCTGATCATTTGTCAGAGGATGACCATCTTCCTCTAAACCAAGGTTGACCACAGGTACCTGAAATCTTGGAAAGCAAAACCACAGAGAAGGAGGGACTACACTGTAACGTTGGGACACAAAGTTCCTGCGTCCTTGTCACAAGTTAGGACAGACCATGGTGCAGTTCCTGCTTGATTTATGCTACAGAGCTCCCCAGAGAATCAGGCTGGGTGAACTTAGACCTCTCCCATTCCCTCCCTGCTACCTCGCTCCCTGCAGGCTCTTGTGAACACTTCTGTAACAAACTAGCTTTACAAGAATTGCCACCTCACACTCTGCGGCTGGGGAGCCCAGCCTAAGTTATAAGCCTTCATGTCAGGAACCCAGAAAAAGTCTTCCCCCAAAACTGAACCAAAATAAAAACATAGGCCAATAATAAAATGAAAGTGTAAATTGGTGAAAAGGCGGGGAATTGTGAGCTTGATAAATTGAACCAAGAATGTGAACTTTTGAGTACTTCTCAAATGGACCTCTCTATTGACCCTACAGATCATAGTGCTTTATGTAAAAAATAAGTAATTTGGAACTCCAAATCGTTGATGTATGCTCATAAAAAGGCCTTGTCCCTACACCAAAAGCTGTAAATGTATTCCTGTGGGTATATTGTTAGAATGCAATGTGTCTAATCAAATATGATATCTGTTGTCTCTGAACATTGTTTTTCTTTTCTTTTCCAGTTAACCAATCAACAGCCAATTCCATTGAATTGGTGTGCTTCTATTCTATCAAAAAGACTTCAAAAACCACAAGAAAGGAAAACAAGAAAATATACACATATTTGCTCATTTGTGAAAGAATAAACCAGAAACTAATGTGACTGGTGACTTGAGTAAAAACAGGGTGGAAAAATGGGAGAATGGAAATAGGATACAATCACAAGTGGGGTAATATTCTCTGAACATTCTGTTTTGTATACCTCTGACTTTTAGAATAATTTTCATGTTTCACATGACGAAAGATAAATTATTAAATTTGAGCGGAATGTGGTGGGGGGAGGTAGGGGGAGGTGCTGGTATAGGGTGGAGTCAACTGGGCTTTGTCTTACAGGGTCCACCATGCCCGTGGGGAGGGGGAGGAACACACCTTTGGGGCTCCTGGCAGCAGGGTGGGGAGAGTCCACAGGACTCTGCCCAGTAGGATCCAAAGCTGAAACTTGGGATGGGGGACAAGGCATCACTTCTTTGCTGTGCTTCACCTCAAGCAGGGTGGATAAAGTCAAAAAGGTTCTGTTCCATAGATATTTCTCTTGGTCATCTCACTAGAAAGAATGGGCTCATCCTAGGGCTCTTAATGTCTTCTCCCAATAGCAGTTCTGGTTTTCAGGCTTTTCTAGCTCTCAGGGAGAGATAAGTGGGAAGCAAAAGAAAACAGTTCCAAGAACACACTGCCAGGTCATTCTGTGGGTCTAGAGATTTTTACCCAATATGGCTACTTCTTCTACCTTCCAGATTCTTCTGATAGTTGTTTTATTCATTTTGGTCCAGGGCTACTCATTGTTGCTAGTAAGAAACACACAATAAAGTACTTTTATCCCATATTACCTGGACCCAGAAGTTCAAAACCCCCGATTTTTTTTCCCCTTTCAGAGTATCAGGTTCTGCTGTCTTTGGCTCTTATCTGGTTCTATCTGGCCATTCTCTGGTGTCTGAATTAATCTCCTTGCTTCTGGTCTTTCCTTTTAATGGAGATTCCAAAGAGTGACATTTAAACTTTATTATTCCTGTCTCACACATTGAATGAAATTCTTCTCAAAACAAAACAAAAACCTTTCTTTTATCAACTATTTGAATCCCCTGAAATACAGTATTTCAGGACAAGCCAATGAATACTTGACTTATTCCTTTACATACCAGCTTTCAGAAAAATGGGTTGTTGCCTTAGCAAACTCCAATGATGACCAATAAGGCTTTGTGGCAGGGAAGTGGTGATAGCACAATATGATGCCCTAGACTTTTAGCCTACTTGAATCCATTGTATATCAATCCATCGAGGTGAATCTTATTTCAATCCATTGTCATCATTGTTCTTTTTGATATACACACTGCCCCACTTTGACTAAAATGCATCCTTTTAAGACGGTTTCTCCCCTGTAACACAATCCCCAGCAGTCCTCGATATCTTCCTTACTTTAAAAAAAATTTTTTTTAACGTTTATTTATTTTTGAGAGACAGAGAGAGATAGAGCACAAGTAGGGGAGGGGCAGAGAGAAAGGGAAGCACAGAATCCGAAGCAGGCTCCAGGCTCTGAGCTGTCGGCACAGAGCCCGACGCACAAACCACAAGATCATGAGCTGAGCCAAAGTCAGACACTTAATCAACTGAGCCGCCCAGGGGCCCCTTCCTTACTTTTTAATGTAACAAGATGTTCTTGGTATATCTTATGCATTTTCTGTCCTCAGACCATCAATTATACATTCTCAAGTTGTTCTAGTTAGCTTCAGTATGATGTAGTACTTGCAAAACGGAGTCTAAGAAAACTGAGTTGTTCACAACTTCTGTTTCTTTTCTCTGGAAACGTACACATTGACAAAGAAAAATAAATCATGAGTTCATAGTGATACTTTTAATTTTATGATTGTATCTTTTTTTATTTTTGAGAGAAAGAGAGTGGGGGAGAGGCAGAGGGAGAGAGAGAGAGAGAGAGAGAGAGAGAGAGAATCTTAAGCAGAGCCCAACTCGGGGTTTGATCTCCTTACCCTAAAGTCATGACCTGAGCCGAAATCAAGAATCAGATGCTTAACTGACTGAACCCTCAGCCATCCCTTTTAAATTTTTTTAATTAAAACATTTTTTTTACAGAGAGAATCTTTTTTCTTATGACAAAATTGTTGGGTGCTAATGACATTACTATAATTATATATTTGTTTTGCCATTGTATCTATTTGTTTCAAAACAACAAAATTTCTTTCTTTCTACCTTTCTTCCTCTATTTTAAGGATGGCCTTTTGAATTTTTAATTAATTTTTATTTGTAATTATGTAAAACATTCTCATGCTCCCAAAGTCAAAACTATTTAAAAAATAAAAAGATACATTCCGAGAAGTCTAGTTTTCTTCCACGGTCCTCTCTATTCTCTTCTGTCTTAGTCCGTTCAGACTGCTATAACAAAAATACCACAAACTGGTGGCTTAAACAACAAACATTTATTTCTCACACTTGGCTGGAAGTCCAAGATCAAGGTGCCTCCAGCATTAGTGTCTAGCGGGGGCTCTTTTCCTGGTTCAAGGTGTTCATCTTCTCACAGTATCTTCACATGGTTGGAGGGAAGCTCTCTGGGGTCTCTTTTATAAGGGCACTAATCCTATTCATGAAGGCTCCACCTCATGACCTAAGCACCTCTCAAAGGTCCACTTTCTAATAGCATCACATTAAGGGTTAGGATTTCAATATATGAATTTTAAAGGAAAAAATATGAAGTCCATAACAATCCCTCTCTTCAAATAGGTGACTGCCATTGGCATGGGTTTTGGTATATATATATATATATATATATATATATATATATATATATTCCTAAGATTCCTAAAATTAAAAGCAATATACTCTAGGGGTGCATGGCTGGCTGAGTTGATAGAGCATGCGACTCTGGATCTTGGGGTTGTGGGTTTTAGCCCCATATTGGGCGTAGAGACTCCTAAAAAAAGCAATATACTTATATGCATAGTTTTGGTATGCCCGTAATTTTTATCACGGATCCATATGTCCATATATATGTACACCAAATATATCAGTACATGAAGATATTACTCATTCCCCTTTACAGATGCATTGTGCACTTATTCAACCACTCCTTTTTTGATAAAAATTTTATATTATTTTCAGTTTTTTGCTCATGACTATTGTTACAATAAATCCTTTTCTCAGATATAAATTTGTATTTTTTTCCAGTGTATGTTCCAAAACACTGAAGTGAAATTTCATAGATATGAATGCAGAGACAAAGGGTAAATGCATATGCACTTTTACTAGATGTTGCCAAACTGCTCTCCATAAAATTGTCTATTGTTTTATTCCCATCAGCAATGTGTGAACATGCCTGTTTCTCACTTGCTTACCAACAGAGGATATGTCAAACTTGTAGAATTTGGTCAACCTGATAAGTGAGAAATAGTGTCACAATGTAAATTTATATTTTTATCCACTTTAGATGAATGAGGTTGAGCCTATTTCCGTATTTAATGGTTAGTAACACTTCTTTTTCTATGGAACTTCAGTTTATATTCCTTGCTCATTTTTCTAAATGGTGGTGGAGTATTTTCTTCCCGAGTTTTAGAAGAGTAATATGTTTAGGGATATTAACACATTTTCTGTGACTAAACCATAAGTATTTTTCCCAGTTTGTCATTTGTCTAAGGAGTTCTTGAATGGAAAAAAGCAAATGGTACAAGAGTGTGTAAAATACATGACTTTATACAAAAAATTTAGCGTGTATATAGTTATTCTATTCATATATTATATATAATATATTATATATTATAGTAACAGTAACAGTTACAGTATAGAAACAGTAACAGTTGGTTTCTCTTTTTTTATAATGCAGGTGTCTGACTTAAGCTTTGATATTCAAGGCATCCATTTCAAAGAGGCAACCACTTCAAAGAGGGCTGTCTGGAATAAGCACAATGCCAGCCACAGGACTAGATCAAGAGCCAGGTCTCCTCCCCACCTGCTCAGCCCCTTTCCTTTAGCGATATTGGTAGATTCCCATAACTGGCCATTTGGGCTGCTTCTTTTTTCTCTTCGCACACTTCAAATTCCTGCTCCTCTTTTAAATTCACCAATAAAGAGTGAACCCTTGAAACTCTAACCCCCACCTTCAACTCCAATAAAAGCAGAACCCCACCTCCATGAGTTCTCTCCACAACCCTGCTGTACGGCCCCCCAGGTGTCCCATGTGATTTTGAGGACCCTTGAGTAATAGACATTTTATCCCCCAAGGTTTCCTGATGGTTGTTGCTGAGAGTGTCTTACAATCATAATAAGAACCACAAGGACTGGCCCAGTCACAACATATAGTATAATATATAGTACATTATATATTCTACACTTAGGATATACGCCGAAGTGATACTAGTGATTATCCCAGTGAATGGGAAGGGTAGCCAGAGAATGGAGGGAGAACTTCCACTTTCTAACATATTAGCTCTGTTTTCTTGAATTTTTTTCAATGAGCAAATGCACACCTTTTATAGTTTTTAAACAAAAAGAGGAGAAAAAACTCATAATTTCTAGGTGTTGTGACAATACTTTGCCAATATCTAGTCTATTTATGTTGTTTGAGGAGAAAATTGTGCAAGTGAATGCTTAGCATCCAAAGTCCAAAATAAAGAAAGAATGTAAGAATTTCAAAAAAACAGAGGTTTCTTCTTGACCTTGATCCAACTGCCTAAAGAAAGAAAAATCATACTAATTGCTTTCCTGACACATTTGACTTGATCCCATCTTAGCAGAACACTGGTAATACCACTTCCTCTGAGTGTACCATCTCTAACAGTTGCCTTCAGCAGTGACTTTGAAATAAATTTTAATACAAGAGACCCACTTCCTCCATGCTAATTTGGTTTCATAAGGGACAGAGGAGACAAGTAATTGTTCTAGTGATATTATGAAGCTATGATGTATTTTCTCAAATATGTAATTAAAATGTTTCCCTTTTATCTTGGTAAACAAGCCAGGCCAATGAACTCAATCCAAATGATGAGAAATTTTAGTCTGTATTTGGGGAAAAGCAACATTAGTATTCTAAGACTTCATTTACTATCTCTCCATGGAGACATAATAACTAGGAATTACATCATACAATGTAATCTCTTGAGAATTTTGAAGAGAACTTTCAAGCATTCTAAATATATAAGAGAAGGATAGATATGCAGCTTGAGGCATCATATCCACATAGATGAATTGTCAATGCCACCAGAATTTACTTCAGAGGTGATCAACCCTTTCTTATATTTTCTGAGCTACTTTGCAATGTCAGAATTGTTTTACAACCTCATCAACAAAAATGACCAGGCTTGATCGTGTATCAAGTTGCATCACATCAAGGCTTAAGAGCTTACCAAAAACTCAGTGAGAGACTTCACTTAAGTTCTGCCATCTCACTAGCATCTTCTCCGTTGAGGGGAGTATAAAATCAAATCTGCACTTCCACTATTGAGGCAACTGCATAACTCTAGCAGCCATCTCTACTGTGATTCCAGAATCACAGAGACTAGCTTCAGGAAACCCATGTTTGGTGTAACTCAGCATGTCAGTAATGGATTTGTGCATGCTGGAGGATTGGAGGATCGGCTCTCTCAAAATATACACAAAGCACAAATCAAATCATGCTGCACTGATGTTTACCAGGAAATATTTGCAGTCAACAGAGCCACCAGACTTGCTGCTGGGACCATAGTTATGTTATGTGAATATGACAACAAAGGAGGTACCAGAACAGTCCCAACCACTCCCTAAAAGCATTCTCTACACCAGTCATGTGCAATGCCTATAGCTAGCTCCACCATCATGGCTCTTCCTCCAGCCTAGGACACAGTGCAAACACTCCTGGGAGACAAAAGGTGGTAGGCATTCATCATTTTTTGGAGGTTAATATAAAACCTTGACCTAAGAGCAGAGAGCATGTGTAGTTGATGCAGTTGGTGTTCTGCCCTGACCTATCAAGCAGAGCACCCAGCTTAACCTATCCTCCAGGTGAATCTATCCTCCAGATGCTTGGAGTGTTGGCTGCTAATGGCTCACAGCTGCCCCTCCTGCAGACTGCCCCTACTGCAGTAGGCCTTGCCTGAAACGTTAGGCAGCTCTCACCCTGGGGGGCGGGGATGGGGGCGGTGGGCTGCCCATGGTCAATCACTGACTGACACATGGTACAAATAGCCACCTCCCATACCTCAAGGCGAAGTGAGCCTATGGTGCAGGTCATGCCCCAGAGCGTCCAAGCCAAGACCACATCTATCAGGGTTTTCCCACACACTATCCTGCTTCCTCATTCCACTTCTCCTGAGAGCCCTCCCTGAATATAAGGCATGCATCTGAGTCCCTGGCTCTCCTTCTAGGAACTGTGACTCAAAATGCAGTGGCAAGTTTTGATGGAAGGATAATGGAGACATATGCCCATGGCAAAGGGTACAAGACCAGTTAAAGAGCCATCAAGAGGCCTTTAGCCAGAGGCCTATAGACAGGTGCTGAGGAGTGGACCTGCAAGATGGTAGAGAAGAGAGGGGGAGCAGAGGGTAAAATTCTGCTGCCTCCCTCTCCTCAGGGCAGCCACAGTGACCCGGAAGAAGAGCCATGTTCCACAAAATGGCATCGATAGCCAAAGGTATGGGGCCACAGAGGGTGGCAGGCTTTGCAAAGACTCCCAGGAACAGCAGGCAGTGGTGCATAGTCCTCTGGAGTGAATGTCTGCCATTTCAGTTCCAAGTCTGGTACATTTGCTTCAATTGCCAAGCTTCCTCGCCAGACTCATAGTTCCATCTCCCAGGAAAATTGCCTAGTTGGCCTTCACCTCCCTAACAAACTCGTTTTTGATGGATTGGCCCCTCTGGTATTATAGTTACTGTACAGAGAGTAAATTTGTTTCGCTTGCCATTCAAATCTGTACTTCCTATAAGTCTGAACCTCTTTCACTCTCTCCTGCTCTCACCGTATCTCCCAGGAGAAATGAACCAGCTAGAGGAACTGTCCATAGTGCGGATGGATGATAACACACTTGATGGCTTTCGGTTTCTCTGTCTCTTGTCTTTGCCTTATTAGGATTGTGTCAGGAAGGCCAAGAAACAAGGGAAATGGAAAACTTGAGTAAAACCCAAGTAAAGTGCAATATATAAGTAAAGGAGCTGGTCTCTGAGTTGGGCGTTTTCCCTCGAGAGTTCAAGCAGGGGAATTGCTAATGAGGAAAGCAATCAATGATTACCCTGAAGGTTAAAGTAGAGTAATTGCAGAATAACGGAAATAAATATAGTCATCCCAAAGAACCCTTCCTAGATTTTTCCCTCAGGGCTCCTTCTAAAACCCTTGCTTATAGTTTATTAACCTAGATGTACCCAACTTTAAGAAAAAGAGATAGAAAGAGAAACAGGTTTTTAAAAATGTGAGTGATCACATTCTCTTCCAGCGACTGAAAAGTCATTCCTGAATTAAATCAAGAAGGTGACAGCTTTGAAATGCAAATGATCACTCAATTTTAATTTACAGAGGTTCGTTTTTCATCATTGGTTTGTGTTTCCAGATGATGTTTCTGTTTTCAGATGATGAACACTTGTGCAAACGCTGACTCCATGATCCAGCTGGAGCTCAACATTCCAACTTGGTTGTACTTGCTGCATTTCCCTGCTCTCACCCCATGGCCACAGTATCTTTCTTTATTACAAATATTGTCATGTGCCTCTGGTACTTGAAAACCTCTCAGGTGCTCATGGCACCAGGATGGATAGCAGACACCTCTACAGTCTTGCTTCACCTCTTAATTTCTCCTTCTCCAAGCCCCTCCCTTTCCCCCATCTCATTCCCCAGACACCTGAAAAACACCAAATCCCCTGTGAAGACTCACCTTAAACATCTCTTTTCCATGCCTTTACTAACCACTCTGTCGTTTACACCCAGTGGTACTGTGACTCCAACTTACAGGGCTGCAAAGACCTGCTCATATACTCTAGCGTCTTCTAGATGGTGGGCTCCTTAGAGGGTAAATCAGGTTTTGAAGTTGAATCTGTAGCACCCATTACAGTATCCGACATTAGCTAGGTATACAGTAAACATTTGCAGAGTTAACGAATTTCACATTAAATTGCAAAACATTCCCTTGTCTCAGGGCATCAGCAGCAATACAGGATTAACTTCTACTTGACCCAATCAACAGCAAAATTCAGAAAGGCCAACTTTCTGCCACATAACCTTTCCATGTTAGAGTCTGAAGACTCAAATTTCCACCAAAAACGTAAAAAGTAGAAACCTGACATTCTGGAATGATACGTTGTTTGATGTTCAATATCTTGCTGGAAAAAAAAATCAAAGCTGTAACATCAAAGCTTTAGCTCCTTAATTTCTAACAAATCATTATGTTTTTAACTTTGTCTTCATGGCAGTGATTTGATGTATATTGGACACTGTAGTTTTCAAGGTCATTTCTCAAGTATTTAAACCTAAAGGAAATCAGAGGGCGGGGGGGGGGGGTGTTCATTTAAAACACCAGAGTTTGATTCTAGTGTTTCTACTCTATTTTAGGTTCTGTCATTCTTTGTTGTACGAATGTGAGGTGGATTTCACCTTGTGGCTTTGGATTCAATAAATCATTGTTTTTGAAAGAATCTCACTGTCTGCCTGTGTAATGCCCAATACAAAATATTCTGACAAAAATGGGGCCCAAGTAAAGAGAAAGCTGGACAATATGTTAAATCTATTTTCAAGTACTACTATTAATTTCAATGTATACAATGAAACTGTAGCTAATTCAGAGTTCTAAGCATCGCTCTTGAAGATACTAATGAGTCACACATCAGTATGCCTACTTTAGAAGATTCATGATGCGGAGAGTCTCTTACTCTAGCTTGAGACCTTAAATAGAAGTTGTGATTATGTTCCTCGATGTCTATGGAACTTTAACATGAATACCTCACCACCTTATAGTGATTAACCTTATAGTAGGGCTTTGATGAGCATGTGGAAATATAAAAATATACTTTGCACCAATACCATCAATTACTATGACTTTATGGAGACAAGTGCTCCATGGATAACATCAAAATAATAGTAGCTATGATTTAATCACTACTTATACAATATACCAGCCACAGTACTGAGGCCTTTGCATACTTTGTCCTACTTAATCCCCTCAAAAATCCATATACAGTAGATACTTTTAAATCTGTACTTGGCCATTGAGGAAATCATGGCTTAGACAGGCTGAATATGGTTTTTAGATTTCAGTTGAAAAAATATGATCAGACAATAGACCAACTCCCAAAAATATAATGAGGAAATCTTACATTTGCAAAGCTATGTTTCTGAGGAAAGAAGAAGAAAGAGGAGAAGAAAGAGCACAAATGCAGTATTACTGTTCCCAGTATTCCTTCTGACAGACCCTAAGAACGTTGCCAGACTTCACCCCACTCAACTCAAGGTATAGACCACCTAACATACATGCTAGCCAAGAGAATTCCAGGTTTCTTGGAAAGACTCAATACTGCCTGCACAAAATGCCCAACAGCTGTCATGGACTTGTGTGTTGAGTCTGCTATGAGCAATGTAGCCTTCCTACACACCAGGAATACATTAGTAAACAAGGTAAGCAAAGCCCCTAATCCCAAATCACCTGCTCTCTGGAAGGGTTAGGCCTGTGCTTGGTTCAGGTTGTGTGGGCCTCCAGCTTATCCAATTTGGGAGATCTCTTTCAAATAGGAATACCAGAAGTTATTAACATAAAATTAGGTGCAAATATTTTCAAATATTGAAAAATACATAACATTTTTTGAAAGAGAGTAAAACATTTTAGTTAATTACCTACTTAAATGCATACCAGATTATTTTTTCCTTAGAG